CTGCTCCTCTGATGCTGCTTGGCCTGCTGTGTTCATCCAGCTCTACACCTGTTATCTCAGATTCTCCAGCATCTGCAGTTCCTACTATCTCTGAAACATGTATTTGCCTGTTTGAGTGAAATTCTGCACCACAGCGTCATGGACAGTCTATTCAGTCACCCTGCAGTATTTATTCTCGTGAACGCATGTAGCAAGACCCACGAATGCATTGGTTAGAGTCAAGAGCTAAGGTTCCTCCACCACTATATGTTGGATCCCTGTACCTGCCTGACTTACAGTCTCGGCCACCTGTCCCTGACCATTGATTGGTTGGAAAATTTTGCATAGTCTGAACGGTGTGACTGCTTCCTGCGATAAATGTGTCTCTTCTTCCTAACCCCCATCCACCTACCCACATCATTCAACGTCTGCAACTCAAAATCTAGTCAACCAAAGTTGTTCAAGTGGCAGACCCCTACCACATATAAGTATTTTGTATGGACATGGTACAACACACTTCTGGTAGAGGTAGGTCTCAAACTCAGACCTTCGAGAAACCTATCTTAAGTATGCTTGTCTGGGATTGCAAGTTATTGTTCTATTTGATGAACAGTAGGTGAGTTCTCCCCAGTGTCCTGGCCAATATTTACCCTTCAATCAACACCTAATTACACAAATTAGCTGGTCATTACCACATTGTTAAGCACAAATTGGTTGCTCTAATTTTCCTACAACAGTAACTGCAATTCAAAAAAAGTGTTATTTGTTTATGAAGTGTTTTTGGAGTGCCAAATTGGTAAAAGACATGATGTAAATGGAAGTCCCTTCTTCCTTTACCTTGCATTTAACCTATTCATGCATACATAACCTTGGATGTGCTTGATTTTCACACTGGGCATTTGATCTGGAAAGTGCCCCGTTTTCTTACCCCAACACAAAATAAAAGAAGCACGGTGGCTCAGTGGTTAGCACTGCTCATAGTGCCAGGGACCTGGGTTCGATTCCAGCCTCAGGTGACGTGGAGTTTGCATATCGTCCCTGTGTCTGCTTGGGTTTCTCCAGTTGCTCCAGTTTCCTCCCACAGTCCAAAGATGTGCAGGCTAGGTGGATTGGCCATGCTAAATTTGCCCACTAGTGTTCAGGGATGCATAGGCCAGATAGATTAGGCATGGGAACTGCTGGGTTACAGAGATATGTTTGGATGGGATGCTCTTCAGAGGCTCAGTGCAGACTTAATGGGCCAAACGACCTCTATCTGCACTATGGGGATTCTATGATTCTAAGAAATGAGGGGATAAATATCTTAAAAAGCAAAGCATGCTGATTTGGCTTCTGTTCAATTGTTTTCTGTGCTCTGTCTTTGCAGATTGTAGGGTAAGCCCTGATGGAGAAACAAGCTACGCAACAGCAGCTCTGGGGAACACATGGAGCCACAGTGTCAACACTCGGCTCATCATGCAATATCTGGACTATCACAGCAGGCAGGTAAATTTCACAGAGGCTGAGAGCCAGGATAGAGGCAGAAGAATTAAAGCCGCTTCTCATTGTGGGTTGCCGCATGATTTTCACAAACTCAATCACAGGGGGAGATAGGCAAGCGCAGGGCGACAAGTTGTCAGGAGCCAGAGCTGAGAAAAGCTTTTCAGCATAGATTGCGATAAGCTGTCAGGATGTGCTAGTTCATTCTCAGTCAGACTGGGTTCCTGTTTATGCACCAAATTCATGACAGCACATTAATCAGGTTTAAATAACAGTTATGAAACCAGAAAGACATTCTTATGCCCTTTTTTAAAGGCACTGAATCCCATAATAACAAAATGTGTGTGCATTATCATAGAAGGAGGACATTTGGTTCTTCGGGCCTTTGCTAGCTCCAGCATCAAAATGACAGGGATAGCCCCCTGACATTGGAACACAGGACCAGGCCATTCAGCCCCTTGTTAATGCTCCACCATTCTAGATCATGGCTGAACTTCTACCTCAACACCATATTCTTGCACTATTCCCATATCATAAAATCATAGAATCCCTACAGTGTGGAAGCAGGCCATTCAGGCCATCGAGTCCACACCGACCCTCCAAAGAGCATCCCACCCAGACCCAATCCTCCCCTACTCTACCCCTGTAATCCTGCAATTCCCATGACTAATCCACCTAGCCTGTACATCCCCAGACGCTATGGGCAACTTAGCATGGCCACTCCACCTAACCCGCACATCCTTGGACTGTGGGAGGAAACCGGAGCACCCAGAGGAAACCTGCGCAGACGTGGGGAGAACGTGCAAACTCCACACAGACAGCTGCCCGAGGATGGAATCAAACCCGGGTCCGTGACACTGTGAGGCAGTAATGCTAACCACTGAGCCACCGTGCCCTATAACACTTGGTATAATTAGTAACTGGAAATCTGTCAATTTTTGTCTTTCAACTTACTTGATAACTGAACTTCCACAGCCATCTGGGGGTAGAGAATTGTAAAGATTCACCACCCTGTAAGTGTAGAAATGCCTCCTCATCTGAATCCTAAATGGTTTGCCTTTCCCTCTGAGACTGTGTTCCCTATTATACATCCACCACCACCCACTTCCCCGCCCCCTCACCCCCAGCCAGAGGAACATCTTTTCTTTATCAACCCTTCAAGAATGTTTAAATTTTCTCTGTGATCACCTCTCATTCTTCTAAACAGAGATACAGACCCAGTTTTTGCATTCACTCCTTGTGGGACAGTCCCACCATCACAGTCTGGTGAACCTCCGCTGAACTCCCTGCAATCTAGAGTAAAAATACTTAATTAGACATGGGCCAATATCAGCAGGGTGAAAACACATCTGTCCCAAATAAATTGCTATCATAGATTAGCAGACAACACTGCAATGAAACAATGAGCTGCTGCAAAGTGGTTTCTGTTAAGGTACCTTTCCCCAACATGCAGGGGAAAGGTAGAATGGGCACAGCCAGAGCTTCCTGGATGAAAGAACCGTAGAATCCCCATGTTATAGGGCATGGTGGCTCGGTGGTTAGCACTACTGCCTCACAGTGTCAGGGACCCAGGTTTGATTCCACCCTTTGGCAACTGTCTGTGTGGAGTTTGCACGTTCTCCCTGTGTCTGCGTGCGTTTCCTCTGAGTGCTCCGCTTACTTCCCTATAGTGTGGAAGCAGACTATTCAGCCCATCAAGCCCACACTGCCCCTCCAAAAATCATCCCACCCGGACCAACACCCCTACCCTGTACCTGTAACCCAGCATTTCTCATGGCTAATCCACCTAGCCTGCACATCTTTGGACTGTGTGAGGAAACTGGAGCACCCGGAGGAATCCCACACAGACAAGGGGAGAATATGCAATTTCCAACAGGCAGTCACCTGTGGCTAGAATCGAACCCAGGTCCCTGGGGCTGTGAGGCAGCAGGGCTAACCACTGAGCCACTGTGCCAAAAGAGATACAGAGTTAAATTAAGCAGAAAATGTGGGCATATGACAAATGGCAAGTGGATAGCACGAGTGAGTACCAGGCTGAATATGAGATTTAGAGGAGAAGTGAAAATGGAAGTAAGAGGGTAAGGAGAGTTTTAGAAGACTTCTGATGAAGTCACTAGACTTGAAATGTTATCTCTGCTGTCTTCCCACAGATGCTGCCAGACCTGCTGAGTTTTGCCAGCAATTTCTGTTTTTGTTACAGTTTTTGAAGCAACTGGCAGCCAACATAAAGGGGATCCAAAAGTCAGCTTTAGACATGTCACAAGTAAAAGGGTAGTCAAATGAGGGTGAGACCATAAAGGACTAAAAAAGGAATTCATGCCTGGAGCTACTGAATGAATACTTTACGTTATTCTTTACCAAGTAAGAAAACACTTCCAGAGTCAGTGTGAAAACCCACAATCACTACTATCTAGAAGGTCAAGGGGAGTGGAGTCGCAGGTAGACAGGGTAATGAAGAAGGCATTTGGCACGCTTGCCTTTATTGGTCAGTGCATTGAGTATAGGAGTTGGCAGGTCATGTTGCGGCTGTACAGGATATTGGTTAGACCTGTTTTGGAATACTGCATTTAATTCTGGTCTCCCTGCTATCGGAAGGATGTTGTGAAACTTGAAAGGGTTCAGAAAAGATTTACAAGGATGTTGCTGGGGTTGGAGAATTTGAACCATAGGGAGAGGCTGAATAGGCTGAGGCTACTTTCCCTAGTGCATAGGAGGCTGAGGGGTGACCTTATGGTTTATAAAATCAAGAGGGGCAATAGATAAGGTGACACAGTGTGGAGCTGGAGGAACACAGCAGGCCAGGCAGCATCCGAGGAGCAGGAAAGCTGATGTTTCAGGTTGGGACCCTGGAACACCCCAACAAACTGAGGCATGTAAATAACAAGCAGGACCTAACACTGACGCATCACTTGGAGGCGCACTGACAAGGTTACCTAGCAGGGTGATGAAACGTTTGCAACCAAGCCCACCAGCTCAGCAAACGAACTACAATCTCATAATTAGGAATGAGCAATATATACTGTCCCAGTCAGTAAAACCCTCATCCTCTGACTGAAGTAACAAGCAGCAGAGTGATGGGAAGAAGCTATTGGAAGGGCTAAAATAAAAGCAAACCTGCAGCGAAGAAGAAAACCTGGAACAGACGAAGAGAAACGCTGGAGAAACTCAGCAGGTCCTGCAGGACCTGCTGAAAGAGAAACAGAGTTAACGTTTCGAGATTGCTATGACACTTCATGAGATGCTCTGAAGAAAGTCATACTGGTCTCAAAACATTAACTCTGCTTCTTTCTCCACGGATGCTGCCAAACCTATTGACTTTCTCCAGCAATTTCTGTGTTTGTTTTTGTATTAAGGCTAGCTGTACTTAAAGTTGAATAAGTCACCTAATCTGGATGAAATGATGGTGGAAGCAAGGGTGAAAATTGTAAAGGCACTGGCTGTAATCTTCCACTCCTCTTCGATGTAGGGATGGTGCTCAAGGATGGGAGAATTGCAATTGTTCACACCCTGTTTGAAAAATTATGTAAGGATCAGCAGGTCAGCAAGTTTAAACTCATTGGTAGGATCACTTTTACAAATGAGAATCAGGGATTAAATGATCAGTTACTTGGAAAACTGTGTATTAATTAAAGAAAGCCAGTAACGTGTTCAAGGCAAATCATGTTTAAGTCACTCGATTGAATGGCTTGAGGAGATTAGAGAAAGTATTGTTGAGGGTACTATACTCTATGTGGTGTGTATGAACTTCCAAAAGGTGAAATGCTACAAAGTTAATACCGATAGAATAAAGGGGAGAACGGCTCCACGGATACAAAATAAAACAGAATTGCGGATGCTGGAAATCTGAAACAAACAAAAAGACAAATTGCTGGAGACACTCCGCAGGTCTGACAGCACATCTGTGGAGAGAAACTATGGTAAACATTTCGAGTCCAGCAACCCTTCTTCAGGGTTAGCTGGGTGTTAGGATGCAGAATGTAGTGGCAAAATGATTGTTTTTCAGATTTGGGAAAGTATATACTGATGTTGCCCAGGGATTGGCACTATGACTACTGTTTGATGTACAAAGATGTGTGTACAGGTCACAGTTTGAAAATTTGCAGATGACACAAAGCTTGGAAGTCTTGTGAGCTGTGAAGGGGATAGTGAAAGACTGACTTAATGGATGGACACCTGACATATTAAGTTTAGTACAGAAAAGTGTGAAGTGATTCAATTTGCTCGGGAAATGAGGAAAGGCAATATAAAATAAAGGGCACAATGTAAATGGAATGCCAGACCAGAGAGCTCTGAAACAAAGGAGGTCATGCCTGACAAATCTGTTCGAATCCTTTGAGGAGGTAGTGAGCAAGTTAGGCAAAGGAGAGCCAGTGGACATGATCTATTTGGATTTCCAGAAGGCCTTTCACAAGGTGCTGCACAGGAGGCTGCTAAATCAAATAAGAACCATGACGTTAGGGGCAAGGTACTGCCATGGATAGACGATTGGCTGACTGGCAGAAGAAGGCAGAGAGTGAGGATGGCAGCCAATAACTAGTGGAGTTCCGCAGGCGTCAATGTTGGGGCCATAACTATTCACGTTATACATTAACAATTTGGACAAAGGAACTGAGCGCATTGCTGCTAAGTTTGCAGATGACTCCGAGAAAGATGGAGGGCCAGATGGTGTTGAGGAAGCCCGGAGGTTGCAAAAGGACTTGGACAGGCTAGGAGAGTGGGCAAAGAAGTGGCACATGGAATACAATGTGGGAAAATGCGGGGTTGTACACTTCGGTAGGAAGAATAGTGCGGAGACTATTTTTTAAATGGGGAAAGGCTTTGGAAACCTGAAGCACAAGGGGACTTGGGAGTCCTAGTTCAAGATTCTTTTAAGGTTAACATGCAGGTTCACTTGGCAGTTAAGAAGATAAATGCAATGTGAGCATTCATTTTGAGAGGTATAAAATACAAGAGCAGAGATGTACTCTTGAGGCTGTATAAGGCTCTGGTCAGACCGCATGTGGAAT